AAAGAGTTAGGGTTCTTATCTCTTTGCAGCACTTGAGAGGATGTTCTCCCAGGGTGAGGTGTGTCCTCACGCAGGGGTCAGCACAAGCCTAAACGCCAGCCAAACTAGTGCTTGGCGTGGTCTGTGAGGGGTGATGGGGTTGTCACCAGCCCCACATCTGTTGTCTGCCACATTCCCGCCAGGACAGGGGCAGTGGGTCAGGCAGCACTGCTTGCCCTAGATGGTACAAAAAAAAGGTGCCTTCTGCAACTGCATTCAAGCCAGCCCACTTGAAGCACTGAACAAAGCACTAGATGAGCCCTTACACAGGGGCGTGCATGGTGTGCTAGATGTGTGCTAAGGGAGTCCTGCCCTGTAAGAGCCAGACAGACCACTCTATCTAACCTATTGGCCAGGTGCTCCTCTAGCCCCAACCCCGACTGCCTTGGGACTGGCTGTACCACAAAACAGGGATAATCAGGGAGTCAGAGGTGCCATTGAGTCCTTTGGATCGGGTTGATCCTGGCTCATGACTTGCTTTCAGGGAGGGATATACCCAGCCAGTCTGGCAGGAGCCCAGTGGTATCAGCCTAGTCAGGACCTCTCCCCCACCCAGGCCCCAGGCGAGGAATGGTGGTGGTGGGAGAGAAAGGGACGATTCTCCAGCTCCTTACCGGTCCAGGCTGCTGATTGGACGGGTCGCAGGCCAAGGAGACGAGATCTTTCAGAGGGTCCTGCGGGTTGAGATGAGGCGGGTACCGTATGGCGGTGTGGGGGAAGTAGGTGGAGGCTGTCTGGGGGAGAATCGAGGTGGTGGGGAAATGCAGAGTAGATGAAGGGTGTGGGCTTCGAGCGATACCTGGAGGGGGAGAGAGACAAACAGGAGACCGGGCGGCCTTCACTCCAAGAACCAGGCCAGGCAGACACACCCAGCGCCCGCTCCTGCTCCCCAGCCCCTCCCCAGGAGCACTCTGGGCTCATGGCAGCAGGAGAAAGGCCCCTGTTTTGGCAGCCCCTCATGACCCGAGCTGCTTCACACCTATGTCTCTGTCACACAGCACATGGGCAGTGCGGCGGGGGAGTGGGCTCCAAGCACAGGTCAGGGAGCCAGGGACTCCCCCTCCCCCTGACACTGACTCCATGCTGTGGTCTTGGGCAAGTCATCAAACATATTTCCGTGCCTCAGTTTCCCCTCTGTAAAGTGAGAACAAGGATCCTTACCTGCCTCTCAGGAGTGGGTGGCATGGACTCCTCGCCTGGTGCACAGGAGGCATGCTCGATACATGAACAGTGGTACCCACGGCCACTTACAGTCCAGCCCCACTTAGAGAAGCTGCTGTAGGAATGGCCTGGAGCAGGTGCCCGTCATAGCCCCCTCCCTAACAGGTTGCATAGGCTCAGTCCACACTAACCATCAGTCCCAGAGGGAGCTGAATGCCTGGCTGAACTCTATCTGCTCCTGCCTCCCTGCACGGATGTGGGTCCAAACAGAACAGAGATTTCCTGGCTTCCCCGTGGCTGCATGGCCTCTGCTTCAGCTCAGAAGCAATTTAGCACAGGCTGGCTGTGTTCCCACTGGTCTGTACAGCACCACTTGGTCCCCCAGCAGTTCCCCACTGTGTTTGCAGCAGTGTGACCACCTGTCTGTCCTGACATCACACAGGCCGCCCCTGTCTTGACATCACACAGCAAGAGAGCCATACCATCGTGCTTTGGGAGACTCCGAGAGGATGCCCCAGAGACGCCCGACTTACCACTGTGCACGGCGATGACTGGACGGTGGTGCTGCGTGAAACTGCTCAGCCTCGGGGAGGAGTCCTGGGGCGACGGGCTGTTGAAAGGTGACTTGTCAATCTCTGTCTTTTTTACGGTCGGGGAGATGCCTGGGGGCCAAAAAAGCAGCAATCGTTAGGGTACCACTTGTCTTAAGGTTGAGTGAGACAAAGGGGAGGGATGTAGCTGGGTTTGGGTTGAGTGGTACTGTTGGGGGAGCATTTCACTGCATAGCCTGATCTCCCCCAGATTAGGAAGGATATTCCCACACCCCCAGCCCATGGTTTTATTGACTTTTCTGGGGTGCTGCTGTCAGGGGTTGCACATTGGCCTAGCCAGGCCAGCACTTTGATCCAGTAGGACAGTAATCCTGAGTGAGAAACAATTGCCCTGATGGGCTGGCAAGCCTGCTCGACAGCCTACAGAGGGAGGGGAAGAAACCCCTTTGGTTGGGCCTAGCTGGGCTGTTCACCTCAGCCTGGGTGGGGGGCACACTAGGGTGGGAGTATGCATTGGTGTCAGGAGGGGGCGCACACATGCCAAACAGCTAGGGGTTGATGGGAGCTCCTTGACCGGGGTGGGGAGAAAGTGTTTCAAGTGTCAGGGGCTGCACTGAGGAAGGTCCCATCTCTGCAGTGAGGCTAACCCCAGCACTGGCCATGTCTGGAGGCAGCAAGGCTAGCTGCTGCACTGAGCCCATCGAGCTGAGGAACAGGGGAGATGAATGGGGTCACTGGTGTTGGATGATCAGCCTGGAGAATATGGGGAGGTTACTGCTGCAGTAGAGACAGCAGGGGGCACAGGAGCCCGAAGAGAGCCCTTGGGCCCACAGGCAGCAGCCACTTTGCTCCTGGCTAAGGAGGTAGAAACCGAGGGCCCAAGTCACTTGCTAAGCGGGGCATGTCGGCTCTGCCAGCACTGGCCTCTGGGGATGCCTAAATGCCAACTGGACCACGCCCAGGTGGTATGTGCGCATGGATGTGTATGGCTGGGCAGCTATGGGTACAGCTGGGTGTGCAGGTATGGGATGTGCACACGTGTGTGTATACTCAAGTGGATGTGCAGATGTGTGTGTGTAAATGGGAGCAGATGTGCTGTGTTGTGTGCATGTTGTGGGTGTGCACAGATGTGCATGTGTGTGCCTGGGTGTGCAGGTGTGTTTGTGATGAAAGGTTTGCTGCTGTGTGTGCAGGGGTGTGTGTGGATGCGTGTGTAGGTACCCACAGATGTGCGGATGTGTATGCGGATGACCTGCAGGTGTGTGCGTGCAGGTGCACACTGGCATGCCAGCACGTGTGTGCATGTGCATCTGTGGAGGAGCCATGGAATGAAAGTCTCTCTCCCCTTTCTAGTGAGGAAGCTTGTGCTCTTCACCAGCTGCTCCCAGTATACCCCTGCACAGGACAGCATTTCTAACCTGCCCCGGGTCTGCCCCCTCCTTCCAGCTGGAGTTTACTGAATAGCCCAGGGCAGGGCGAACAGGCCCAGGGCACAAATGCAGGCCCAGGCTGGGTACGTTACTGGTGCCAGACTGCAGTGGGGCCACACAACTGGAACCAAGCACACCCCGTGGTGCTCCAGGGCCCAGTGGGTCGGCCCTAAGGAAAACCAAGCCATGTATGTGCCCCCTGGTTTCTCTGTGGGAGTCGGGCACCTTGCCCCAGAGCCCAGCAAGGCTGCTGGGCTGTGGCTTTCTGCCCAGGTGGGACACGGAGGTCTGGGGAGGCAGGGGCGAACAAACAGGACGGAGATGCTGTTTCTTCCCCCGACCCTGAGCGTCCCCAGCACTCACTACCCCTCGCCTTCCAGTGGAGCGGCAGGTCCTGCTGAGTCACCGGCAGGCGCGGGACAGGACACCCTGCAGCCCAGCCCTGCCCTGCCCCATTCTGGGCCCCAGCTCGGACAGTTGGCTGCTGATTTATGAGGAAAGATTAAGAGAACTAAAAATATGTCTGGCTTGGCCGGGCGCTGACCAGGAGGAGATATGAGACGGAGCACGAGGATCCGAATGGCATAAACACCAAGGGGGAGGGGCGGGCTCAGGCTGTCTGGGGGGGTGGGAAGGCTGATAGGAGGCCCCAGAGCAGGGAAACTGTCCTGATGGGGAGCTGTTGTCCACAGGACGTGGAAGCCTCCTTGCCTGGGACATTTCCATGCTGATGGATGGGACACCTTCCTTCCCTGTGGCCCCATCGGGTCACTACACCAGGGGCTTCTTGTGACATTTTTACTGGACCAATCATATAGCTGGGAGAAGAGTTTGACAAGCTTTGGGGCATGCGCTGCCCTTCCTTAGGCCATAAGAGAATTCCCCCCGTGCAGTGCGACCTAGGTCTGATGCAGGCAGCCCCGGGCACCGGTGTGCTGGGGAGGGAGCTGAGGTGCCCTGCGTGCTTGCTCTCCTGTGCTGCACAGTGTGGGGTGGGGAGGCTGCTGCCCCTGAGGTACTGTACCCATACCAGGGCCGCCAGCCCCCAAGGGCAGCCCAGAAGGGGGTCTACATAGGATGCCATAGAGCCACCTTTGTGGACTGGTTCCTTCCCTGTCTGCTCCCTCTTCCTTGGCCTCTCTGTTGGATGGACATGACAGTGGAAGATGGACTGCAGCCTCCATCCACCCCTCTCCCTATTTCTCTGCTGCCCTTTCTTTGCTGCCAACTCACTAGCTCAATCCTGTGTCCCTCTCTCTGCCCTCCTTGCACTCAGCCCTGCCATAGTTTTCCCTGGTACCTCTGTGCCAGGGAATCCTGCAGTCTTCCTTGCCCTGTGTCCAGGCTCTGTAAGTCCCTGCAGGATGCTGGGCACCTCAGTAAAGAGGGGGTCTGCCTTCTCTGCCCATTTCCATGACAGCATATTAGGGACCTGGCCCTAAGTGGGGGCATGGGTAGTGCCATGGGCTGGCACTCCTAGAGGGAGGCGATCCTGCTGCCACAATGACATGGAGGCTTTAGCTGCGGCCATGTGGCCCAGCCGGCGTTAATGGATTTAGCCCTTTCTCAGACGTTCATTTAGGAGGATTTCACAGAACATCCAGTACAGGATTGAAATAAACCCCCCCCAACACGCCGGCTAAGCACGTCACTTCTCACAAGGCTTATTGCCCCCACCAGCCGGTGTAGTGCGCTGCTGGGATGCCAGGCTCAGGAAGGCTGGGGGGGGGGCACTCATATGAAACAGCATGTGCACTTACACATTTGCACATAACACAAACCCATGTGAACACATATACACATGCACATATATGTGAGCACACATACAAAAACATCCACCCACACACAAATGCATGCATGCGTACACACAAATGAAAACATCTGCACATTCTCAGGCACAAGTGAACTCACAGATATGCCCCCACGCATGAAAATACATGCACACACACCAGAGCACATGGATGTGTGCATGTGCACACCTGCAGCTGATGCACCTCTCTGATCCCTGATGGCTTCAAGAGCCACTGAGCCAAGACCACCATAGGGAGCTAACCATAAGAAATGAGAAGCAAGCTGCAGGGCAGGTGTGGTGTGGCTCAGTGATCGGAGCAGGTGTTGAGGGGGGAGCAGGGGTGGGGATCCTGGACACACGGCACCATTCCCAGCTCTGCACTCCCAGCTGCGTGAGTCAGAGCAAGTCATTTCGAAGACTACAAAGATGCTCTCCCAGGGCAGCTTTGTGTGTGCAGTGCAGAATGCCTGGGCTCCCGCAATACGTTGGCTCTGGACCATACCAACCTGCCCCTGTGGACAGCATTCCTCAGCCTATGCTGCTCAAGTAGGAGACAGCAGCCTTGGGAGGGCACGGGATTGAACTGTGGGTATTGATATACACACAGGCTTCCTTCCATGCTGCCCTACAAACCACAATGCTGCCTCTTAGCAATCCTCCTTTGCCAAGATGCTTACAAAGTCTCAGCAGCTGCTGTGCTGCCACTTGCACCCTTCAGGCTAACTGCTATCAGTTCAGTGCTCCTGATCACTCAGTCTGTATCTACCGGCAGAGATGACCATAGCAGGGTGCGGGGCCTGGGGCAAATCAGCCTGTGCGGGGCCTGGACTTGGCGGTGGTACGGTGGTGGGGGAGGGAGGGAGGTGGCAAGTGGCTGGACATGAAGCCGGCCCGGCTCCACAGGGTCCCCCAAAGTGCGAGGCCTGGGGTAGTCGTCCCGATTTGCACCCCCTAGGGATGGCTCTGTCTACTGGTTAGCTCCTAGCTTAAAATGTGCTGTGTGCTGGTTGATCTGGGCCCTGCACTGCTCTGTAGGCCAGTGGGTAAGGAAGAGCCACGCCAAAGGTACTCAGGTGCTTGCTAGGGGTAAACTGGCCCCAGTGCAAGCCCCTATTTGACAACACCCAAAGCACAATCTAAGTTTGAGGTCCTGGTGACATTTCTGTTCTGCAGTCCTCCAGAGCAGCCTGCCTGGCACTCTGCAGATCTCATGCAGTTTGCTCACAACTCCAGGAAACACAAAAGCAATTGTTTGGGGTTGAACGAGACACATTAGCTGGCCTGGAGCAATTGTTAAGCCCTTTTTTAAAAAATAAAATGGAGGGGAGCAGCCAAGCGAGGCGCAGAAGTGAATGGGAAAACAGAAACATTCTTGAAATATTTTGTTCTTTTTTTCCTGGATGCAAACGATTTGGCAAAAAAGAGGCGAAAATGGGTCCATGAGGCCAAATCTACATTTTTGACCTAACTTTTTTTTTTTTGGACTTCAGGTTTTACTGCACTCTCCTGCTGGCCCCGGGAGGCAGAGCCATAACCAGAGCAAAAGAGCAACTGAAAAATCCTGTGAAATCTATCTGGAGCAGCACCCCAGGCGCCAGCAAGACCCGGTCGCTATTAGAAGCTGGTCTTTAACGACAGGTTGAAAGAACTGCAAGAACTGCAGATGGGGGGCTCTTGCTATCAGTAATGAACAGCAACGAGAACAGGCAGCTGGATAAGGGGGTTTGCTACCATTTGGTGCAAAGAACTTTTCTTTGTTTAAATAGCCGCCTAGTGCGTTTGGTCTGTTAATGTCCCCACGCTTCAGCAGGGCTCAACTATTCTTTTTGGAAAAAAAATATTTAGGGCAAAATAAATTATTTTTGTCCAAAAAGTAGGAACACGGGGATGGCTGGGTGCCTGCAAGCTCCCAGAGCCTCACCTCACAGCCAGGCAGGTGTCTGGGCCCTGCTGCTCTTCCCCAGCCTTCTTGCTCCAAGGGTGAGAAACCGTCTCTACCATCCAGCTGAAACCTGTTCCTGGCCCCTTTGTCCCTGCTGGGGAACACGTTGGGAGGCTCAGCATGAGCAGGCTTTGCTGTGAGCAGCTTCATAAACAGGACACCTAGAAAGCCCTGTTCCTGCCCAAGGAAGGTGACCATCTGGGGCTTGCAGCAGGCCACAGAGACTGCTCCCCAGCTGGTTCCCCATAATGTGTTTCATTTGACTGGGTGCTCGTGCCTGGATTGATACCATCCTTTTGCAGCAGTTTTGCTGCGAGTGTGGCTGACTGGGCTAGAGGAAGAGTGAGGCTCTGAGAGAGATGGGGAGAGAAAGGCATAGTCCCCGGGTAGAGCTAGTGAGACAGCAGAGTCCGAGGGAGGACTGCTTGGAGCAGAGCTGCCCGTTGTGCAGTTTGGGGAGTCTCTGAACCCTCTTTGAGGAGGAACACCCCCCCTTCCTGTGAGCTGAGCGAAGAAGGAGCTTTCTGAGTGGGGAGTGCCACTGATCACCAGGAAAGACGGGGACAGAGAGGAGGTGCAATCTCAAAGCCAAAGGCTTGTCCCTTAGAATCTGCACTGGGGGTCCTTGGGGAGAGGGAGAGCAAAGGAGGCTGCTTCTTGGGGTGCCTCAAGGAAAAGCATCCCCTGAAAGGGGCAGATCTGTGATAGCAGACACGCATGCATGCAAGCACTCAGATGGACACACATGCATGCACGCACACACACAGAGGTGGGCTGTTGGGATCAGGGTTGTGTGGATGTTGGGGGCAAAGGACCAGACTGATGCTCCCAGTTTGAAAGCAAAATGGCCCCTTAAAAATTGTCCCTGGACTGGTAAAACTGGTGGCAAGTCCACTTTCTGTCACATAGCTGCTAGCATCCCCCATGGCTCTAGCCCAGCAGCTCTCCAGCATCCAAGGGACACCTGCTCTCCCCAGCAAAGTCTGTGAGCCACCCCTTCCCCAGCTTGGGTTGCAACCGGTGCTTTCAGGAGGCAGGAGAGGGAGTGGGGAATAGACATCGCTGGATTAAGACAAAGTAAAAGTTGCAAAGACTCCCCCCCTCCCCTCGCCCCTTCTATGGCTTTAAGGAAAGAAACCCAGGAGCGTGGGAGTCTGGGAAGCAGGCATCTGAAAAAGGGGCAGTATCACTTTAATTAACTCAGCCCGTCCCACTCCCCCCCTTTCTTAACGAACAGCTAATTGGGCTGTCTAGACAGGAAGACAAAAACCTACACAAGAAAGCAAGCTGTCCCCAATAATATCAGGCACCTGTGGTGCGGGCAGTGGCGGGGCAGGCAGGCGCCTGGCTGGGGTGCAGGGCAAGTGCGATGTTGTGAGGGGTTATGGGGTAGCTAGATGAGTGTGAGAGACAGGCAGGCCTGGCCCTCAAGTACAGGGCTATCCTGGGGGCACCCAAGGGGCTTCCCTGGGCAGGGCTATCGAAATGCCAACAAACCATGGGACACTGCCCTAGTGATCCGTGTGTGGCTGGAGAGGATACACAGCCTCCAGCACAGCCCTGGAGAGACTGGGCTGCAATTCCTGCTCCTGTGGCCTCTTGCCCTGCCAGAGAATTTGCCCCTGAACTCAGCTCAGCCCCAAGAGGTATTGTGCATGTGGCCACGTCCAGTGCACAGCAGAGCAGACCTAGAAGGAGGTCCTTCAGGGGCCAGATGGGAAGAGCCCCATCCCTGCCCTGCCCTATGCCCTGCCCCTCCCTCCCTGAACTTGTAACCAACTCGGAAGCCAAGCTGACACATAGCCAGGAAGAGACAGCGGGATCAGAGGCCAGCCTGGGCCCTGCAGGCAGGGGCTGCCTCACCGGGGAGAGGGGCAGGTACCGGATGGATGCCAGACCTACCCCCTTCCATGTCTTCTGTCCAGTTGCGGCTGCTACTCGTGGGTGAGTTGGGTGAGGTGTAGTACTCTCCCCCCGGGCTCGTGTCTATGTCGTCCTCCATGGAGCCAGATTTGTGCCGTTTACTCCTGGGGAAGGGATATAGTTAGTAGTGATTAACCCACAGGGCTGTGTCCAGGCATCAGTTCCAGCTGCTGTTTAGCTCAGCTGTGTCTGCTTTTGTCTCCGAGGCCTGAGGAAGAGCATTGTGATATGCAAAAGCTTGCCTATGTCTATGCCAATCATACAGTTGGTCCAATAAAAGATATTGCCCACAAGAATTCTTGCCTTTCACATACCTCCTGGACCATCATAGCACCAACATCACCTCAATAATACCCAGGCACCAAGCCATTTCACTGGAATTGCTTCCTGAACAGAGCTGGGGGATGGGAGCTAGGACTCCTGGGTTCCACCAGCAGCTCCAGCGTGGACCAGTCTGTTGGTCAGAGCCAAGGAGTGAGAGCTGAGACACCTGGGCTCTACTCTCAGCTCTAGGAGGGAAGTGATTTTGCTGTTTGACCCTCATCAAATCCGGGGCAGTCTTGTAGCCTTTGTCCCATAAGTCAACAGCCCAGGGTCATCCAGCCCCAGAGCTACTGGAAAGCTTTCTTAGCTACAGGGATACTCTCCAGTGGAGCAGTGTGTCCATGGAGGTCACTGGGGTCTGCACATCAGGAGAACCAGAGACTGGAAACCCAACATCCAGAGGGCTTTGCTTTGAGATCCTTACAACAAGGCAGTAGATTTTAGCAGCAAGGATGGAGGCTTGGTACCACACCACTGCAAATGGGGCACCAGGGATGGGCTCCACAGGGTGCCACAGAGTCTGTTCTCACCGCAACACTAGTCGAGTTACACCAGAAATGAACTTGGCCCAGCAGAGTTTCAAGATGCTTAATGCAGCTATATATAAACTCAGGGCATTGTGCCGCTCACTTTGTCCTTTCAGCAGAGACTGCAGCTACAACCCATCTAATATCTAGTGGGCCTGTCCCGGCAAAGGGTAAGGCTGCTCTGGGCCAAATTCTGCTCCCAGCCCCAGCCCAGGACAGACCGCTGCCCAAAGGCCCAAAGCAAGCACTCGGCTCAGCCTGTGATCTTGTACCGACTGACATGACAGGGCACGTAAACAATAGCCCCCATCTCCCTGTGCACAGGGCTCCTGGGATGGAGCGCAGGGGTTGTTTGACAGCCACACGGTGTCTGGGACAGGCAGTGATGAAGACCATATTCCTGGGAATCACGAGAGGGAGTCGAGGGAGACAGATCTACCCACCTGAGGGTGGAAGCTGTGTCTGGTGCTCGCAGTTCTGCTCATTCCACAAGTTCCCTAAGCCTCGGAGGTCTGTTCCAAAGGAAATCACCTCCAGCAGCACATGGCCCCGAGCAGTGTGCTGGGGCACAGCTCCAGGCCTGCATCACAGGGAACAGCCCCCACTGCTGGGTCACCCAGCTATTGTCTGCAGAACCTCAGGGCTCCTCGGCCTGTCACCCATCCAAGTCATAAGTAGCTTTGGCCCTGCTTCGCCTGCTAGAGTTGACAAGACCATCTCCCCCACCCCCTTCCAGCACTACAGCTGCCAAGGTCAAGGGCATTCAAAGTTGGGCCTGGAAGCCACAAAGCCAAAAAAAAAATGTAGGTTAACCCTTTTACTGCTGGATCTGTTCCCTGCAGGGTTGTGCTGGGCCCCACATCCCTGGCATACGAGGCAGCACTGATGAGGTTAAACAATAAGCACTCTCCTCCTCCCTCCCCATCCCCATCCAGGCTAGGGTTGCAGAGCCTGGTGAGACAGCCCCAGCTCGGCTCTAGGCCAGGTTGGAAGGAATGCATTCACCTAGGTGGTCGTGTCAGGCAGGGAGAGGGCAAAGAATGAAGGGGAGGAGAGGAACCCAGGCAAGCTGGCTGTGCCCACCTGCCTGGCCCCAGGAGGCAGCCCCAGCCAGGATAAAACTAGACCTGGATTTATACTGAGGGGCACGGGGCAGAGCAGGGCCAGGGGAGCTGTTTCGCAACTCTGCACTGCATGTGTTGTGGGGGAGAGGACTGTCCACATGATCCCACATGTGAGACGTGTGTGGGTGGTTCCATGTGCAGCCCCGTCTCTTTGCTGGGGTCTCTGGGGGGGCTGTCTCCACGTGGACATTCAGGGAGGAGGCAGGTGACTCCATGTCCAATGCGTGCACGGCGCCAGGCGTCTGCTTCCATGAGTGAGTGCCCCCCTTTGTGCATCGCGGGCAGCCCTCAGAATGGATGTGCCATGTGTGCACGAGTGCCTGGGCAGCTCTGCGCGTGCTCACATGACTCTCATGCAGGCTCCATGCACCAGCTGAGGATATGCATATGGCTGGGCCTTCCCATGCTGCGAGGCACAGGCAGGCTCTAGGGAAGGGCCAAACCAGCCAAGCCAAGCCCAGACCTGCCCTAGCTTTTCCACCCCCTCTGTGCCGTCTCCTCCTGGACCTGCTAGTACGTACCCGCTGGAGGAGGTGCTTGGGAGCGTCCTCCTCATCCCGGTGCTCGAGGGGTTCAGGTCATAGGCCAGATGACCTTGCAACTCTCCCAGAGAGAAGTTTGGCCCTGTACCCGTCACCACCGGTGCTGTGGACCACAACAGAGAGAGGTGTGTCAGAGAGGCAATGGGGGAGGACTGGAAGGGTGTGCTCGCCCATGCTGGGCACAGTGCTCCCATCCCGGGCTTCCCTGGGCCTGTTCCAAGGGAAAAGCATTTGCTGACTGTATCTCTTAACCTGCCCCAGTGGTGCACTCCGCCCTGGATCCAACAGCCTCCCTGCTGTTTCACCAGTCCTAACTGGTGTCTTCCAGGGGCTCTGTAACCCTGCTACTGACACAAGGCCACCTGCCCTGCCCAGACCTGTTCACCAGGCCTGCAGTGAGCTCTGCGTGTTCTGCTCTCGCTCCAGGGGCTGTGAAGGTGGAAAGGGAAGTCTGTCTGGATGGCTCTGACACACCCAGGAACAGCAAGTTCACCAGCCCCCTGTGAACACCCCGGTGCCCTGGCAGCTCTCGCAGCTGCAGTGACGCAAGCTTGCCGCCGCTCACATAGTACTCACTTCGGGAGACTTGGATGAGCTCCGTAACGCTGAACACTCCCGAAGTGACGAAGCTTTCCTGGAAGTCTGTCGAATCTGCCCAAAGAAAAGAGAGGGGAAAGCTGAGAGGAGCTGGGAGCCGTGGGCCTGGCCCCACTGAAGTTACTGGCAGAGGCACCAGCTGACCTCAGAGGTCACCACCACCCACCTGCCCCTGCCCTTCTCCATGAATCCCATGGCTAGTGGTCCTGTCTCATGGCAGCTGCTCATCTGCCCTTTGCACTGGGCCCTGTTGGTGGACACTGGAGGGGTAGTGTTTTTTGCCTCCTGCTGTGTGAGGGGTGCGCCAGCCCCGGGATGAGGTTTCTGTTGGGGAAGCTGAGAGGCTCATTGGCAGTATCTGGCTTTGGGAAGATGAGGGAGGATCCCATAGAAGCTCTTGGGCTTTCCTCTGCCCACGCTAGTTTTCAACCTGAGTTACTCAGCAGTCAATAACTTGAGTCAGCTGAGCCCTCACCCAAACCACCAATGTTTATAGATTAGATTAGCACATGTGAACATGCGAACTCGCTTGAGTTAACTGAGGCCTATCAACTTGGCTTAAGCGCTCCTATAGCCAAGCAGGCATTGATGTGGTGCAGAGCCACTGATGTGCCTTGCTATGGTTCCAGAGGTCCACCATCGTGCCCTGCTTTGGGGTCTTGCTACGAGCTGCCCCCACTTGACCAAGGTGTAAACAGGCACCTTGCCATTTGGGCTGAGGAGTCAAAGGCACCAGTGTGACACAGGCCACATCACTCCTTTCATAGCACTGGCTACAGAAACTGGTGGCCTTCATTCTCACTAATGCAGTTGGCCATGAGGCTCAGGGAGACTTGGCTGTGGCAGTCACAGGGCAGGAGGCCTCTGAGTTGGGAATAGGAGGAGAGTCTTTTGCCCCTGCTAGCACTTGAATCACAATCCAGCCCACCTCCTTAGGGACTGAGAGCCATTGCTCCTCAATAGCCTACAGAAGGGGAGTGACAGACACTTGTCAGACAGCTGATCCCAGGTTAGAACCAGGCTCAGTAGAGAGGCTGGGACCATCAGGCTCTGTCCCTGCCAAGCCATGTTGGGAAGGTGTCCCTTCTGCTTCCTGCCAGGACTGGGGGTGTCTAGATGGTGCTGTCCCCAGGCCAGTGACAACCCTGCAGAGGAAGGTGAGCATAGTGGCAGGTGTTTCCACCTCTGCCTTTCTTGGTACCTCCTTGAGCTGTAGGTGGGGGTAGCCTGCTCTAGTGGTGACTAGCACTCCAGGCCATTCTGCAAGCAGTAAAACTACAGTTGCTGCCCCTGGGACTTCTGCCAGCATCCCAGAGCAGTGAGCAGACAAAGCCCCCTGAGCAGCTTTGCCAACACCCTGGCTCTCCCTCATCCACTTTGCTCTTTGTTGACAATGCAAGAGCAACAACCCACAGTGTGCAGGGGGGGAAGAGAGGGGCTCCCTCTCCACCCTGTACTGCTGCCCACTGCTCACAGTTTGCCCCTGCCACTTGGACTCTGTTGGGCTCCGGCAGGGCAAGGGGGCTGGGTCACTTGCCACTGCCGCTCGGCTGTGAATCTAATTTCCTACCACGTGGCTGGCGCTGGCTCCCACTCCTTGCACCTGTGTGTCAGATAGTAAATGACGTACGTGTCAGGCTGACCTGGTTTCATTTCACACACATGCATTTTCTAGAGCCCAGCCCCACAGTGCAAAAGCAGATCTAATCCATGCCATGGGTGCGCAGGGGCTGATTTACAGGTGCCCGGGGTGGGGCTGCAACTTTGAGTTTCCTGACTTGAAATGGTACTGTAACAGGGATACACCACAGGCAGAAGAGGAATCACCGCACTGAATTGGACCCAGGGCCTGACCAACCCAAGATCCTGACCCTGAGAGCCATCAGCAATAGCTGCCATGGTAGAAGGGGCAAGACCCCAGGACAGATGTGAGAATTGGCTGAGGATGGTCCTTCCTGACCCCAGTCAGATCAGATCCCCTGACGCAGGAAGGTTCAGCTCCCTTCCAAATCTCCTGGCTTTTTAAAATACTTATTCCTGGAACCCAGAGTGTTCTTACCATCCATCTCAGGGGTCCATGGGGCAGGCACAGGTCTTACAGTTGGGGCTCCAGGGTTTGAGTCCTGGCTCCATTATTACTGTTGTGTGCAAATCAAGTCCCTTACCTTTTCCATAGGCAATAAAAGGGACCATTGCAATCATCTTTTTTACCCTCCTGCACAGTGCAGGCCTGGCCAGCCCAGGACAACATGAACAGAACTTTTGGAAAAGACTGAGTCTCGATTCACGGCCCAGTGATGGGGAATCTGCCCCGCACCCTGGCAAGCTGTCCACTGGCCAGCTCCCTTCATGGGAAGAGGGCTATCCTTGACTTTAGCCTGTATTTTCCCAATTCTTTTATCTCCCTTGTGACTCTTCTCTGACCCTTGTATAATTTATCAACATCCTTCTTGACCTATGGACACCAGAACTGGCCACCAGATTTCAGTAGCAGCTGCACCAGTGCCAAAACCTGAGGGAAGAGGACCTCCCTGCTCCTGCTCAAGTCTCCCTAGCTCACAGAACCAGGAGAGGCATTAGGTCTCCAGGCTGCAGCATCACCTGGAGCCTACAGCCAGCTGATCCTCCCCCCTCTCCCCATCCTTCCTGGTGGAAGGACCTTACATATGGATGCACTGAAATATGAACGGTTTCCTGCTCCCAGCTCTCTACATGATACACAGGGCTCTGTGCCAGCCCCCTGCTCCCTGTGCTGCTTACACCTCACCTGCCAGCTTTGTCAGCAAGGGCTTTAGGGCTCCCCCCAGGTCACTGATACAAAGCTGAACAGCAGCACGCTGGGAACAGAGCCCTGCGAGCCCCTGCTAGAAACAGGGTCACACGTGGGTGATTCCCTTGCAGATGCATTCTGAGCCCCATCATTTGGTTATTTCAATGCCTGGGCCAGGTTCATCTTCATCAGTCTAAGTTCTTAATCAAACTGCTGTGCGGGACCAAGTGGAAGCTCCACAAATTACGTGATTACATGACGCATTTGCCTGTCACAGCAGGGTCTGGGCTCAGTGACTGAGGAGCCCCCTGCCCCCATCCTCTGTTCTCTGCTCCTGACATCTAAGTCCGTAATAGCCACATGATGACCTTAATCAATCAAACTTGTAATCTTGTCAAAAAAGTCTCAACTCATTTGACAGGGGATTTTTTTTCTGTGCCTCAGTTTCCCCCTCTTTGAAATGTGGCCAGCAACCCTGTCTCTGCTTTTGTACCAGGAGCCTGATGTGTGCTGTCTTGAAGCCAAGAGCTGGAGCATGCCGTTCTGGCTGTGTGACTCATGTGCCCATCACATTATGCTACTTGGGTCATGCCAGCATTCACTGTTTTAGTAGCAGGGCTGCCAGTAAAGGAGTGCGGCCTGGTAGAGAGGGCGCTGGCAGGGGGTCATGAGAACCTACTGCTCTGCCTTCCAAGTCCTGCTCTGCCACAGCCTCTCTGCCGGGCTTTAGGTGAGTCACTTAATCCCTGTAGGCCTGAGGTCCCTGCCTGTAAAAAGGAGCTACAAATCCTTCCCTGATCTGTCTTGTCTCTCGACAAGCTGGAGGCAGTTCAGGGCAGGGTGGGACTCAGCTTTATGTTAGTGCAGCGCCTAGGGCTCACACGCCTCCAGGCTGAGGATTGCATGTACTCCTGTACGTATAATACCCGATGGCTCCACAGTCCATATTGCAATCCCTAATTCATAGGATACCCGCCATGTGAGAGGGGCAGGTGGGGAGCTGCCCTTGGCAGCCCTGTCAGCACTCCCTGGGCCTGGCATGGTAGGAAGGCTGAGGGAGGGGAGCCTCTGAAACCTGGAGGGATGACTGGGCAGGAAAACAGACCCCACCACAAGCAGGACTCAGCAGAAAGCAGCGCAGGTGTTGGTGGAAGACTCCTTCCCTATCATTGCTTCGGGTGAGAAAGCTGAGTGGGAGCAAACTGGAGACTTGCCAGCCAGGGAATCAGCCCACAGCCTTGCAGCCCTTCTGCCCCAGGCAGCCATCCTAAAGCCCTGCCCCGGCCACCCCTTGTCGGCTGCACTCCATCCCAGGCCCAGGCAAATGTCCATCTCTCTGCTGAGCCTGTCGGCAAGGGGACCTGTTGTCAGTGACAGCTGCTGTGACATGGAACTGGGCTGAGACCGCGCCACACTCATGCCACACTCCACAATCCAGCTGATCCAGACTCTGCTTACAACCACCCAGAGGGGTGGCCACCTGGGCCCAGTCTCCTCAAAGAAAGCTATTCAGGATCTGCCTGGAGCCGCAATCCTTATCCGGCATACATAATTCACACCCGTGTGCCTTGGAGCCGATCAAATGCTGCAGCCTCCCTTTGCCGACTCAGCACTTGTGCTGCGGAGGAGAGCGTGCTGGGTCCGTGCAGCAGTGGCCAGGGGTCGGGTGGGGTCTACGCATCACCCGAGGCTGAGAAGCTGCTGGTAGAAGCCTGAGGCTGCGAGAAACTCCTTGCTCAGCAGTTTCTCCTTTGTGGCATTTATTTCATCCAGCAAAATCCAATCTTTTCCTTCCCGTCCCACCTCGGTCCTGACCTTTCATCCACTCCGCGCTTCCTGTTTGCTGTTCCCAGGGAAGTGGCGTCCAGTACAGTCTGGCCAGTGTGGGCTAGGAGCCCCACTCCCTGCCGCCCTCAAGCCTGGGTCTTACTAGTGAGCCAGACAAGGAGGACCAATGCTTATGACTCTAGGTGACATGCAGCGCTCCTCTCTCTGCCACAGAGAGTCCCAGGGCTGGGGGTTTAGATCTAGTGCATGAGAGACTGGGAATCTAGGCTCAGCTCTGCTGCTAACCACTTGGGCAGGTTTTTGTGCTCTGACTCCTTTCTCACCCTTGCCTTGTCTTGTCTCCTAGCATGAGTGACTGGTGCCTCCTGAATCTGGAGGGCCCCCCGCAGAAGCCACCGAAGGCAGCAGCCCTGTCAGGGGGGGCACCAGCCCTACCGACAGCATCAGTGTTGGCCGTCAGGGGGGCACCGGCCCCATTGTGGGGGGGACACGTGCACCCCCATGCACCCCCTACCAGTCACCTATGGCTCCTGGACTGTCAGTGCTTGTCTCTCCCTATGTGTCTGTGCAGTATGTGACACAGTAGGGCCCTGACCTGTTTTGGGCGGGCTTCTTAGTGCTCCCAGGAGAGCGATAATGAATAACAATGATAAAGCTGCGTGGGCCAAATACATCTTTGATGTGGAAGCTAGTGCTGTTGCACTAGCCCCTCCGCCCTATGCTGCCAACGCATGAGCCTCCCAATTATAGACTAAAAACCCACTAACTCTCTGGTGGTTTCTCAGTGCTGGGCTAGCACACTGCAGCTGCTTGGTAGGGGAAGTCAATCCTTTTACAAGCAACTCCTTGACTTGCAATAATCAGAGACCAGCAGCACACCCAGAGCCCGTCCAAAACCACGTTCCTGTGATAAATATATGGGTCTGAGCTGGGAGCTCTTTAATTCAGAGGGCTTTTATCTGTAAGCTATGCCCTGCAGCCCTGGGGCCAAACATAGCCCGGCTCCTTTGTACACCTCCGTCAAATGGGGGTGAGCACTTCTTGAAATCAGATGCTCAACTTGCCAGCAGCCAACCTGAGGCTCCTGGCCTGGCTGCCTTGAGCATCGTCCTGGCCAAAGCACCAACAGGACACTGGGGGAGCCATGAACATGCTCTGCTGTGAGTACTTGTGCTTTGCCAGCAGGCTGTGAGCATCACTCGGATACATTAACTTTGCACTGCTGGGTGCATCCACATAAGGTGCTCCTGTCCTGTGCTATACTGGCCTGGTGCTCTCTCCCCTGTGCTGAAGGTTTCCATACTAAGGAATCTGCAGTGGGGAGAGCCTGGTGTTCAATTGGCCTCTGTGCTCCTCAGTACCTCACTGCAAGTGTCTGCTGTTTTAGAAAGAAACTGGGGGTCAGCTGGATGAGAGCCTGGGCATAGTGTGGGGACAAATTTGGCATGATCAGCTGTGCAAATGCCACACAATGCTCCCAGCTGCCCTCCTTCCATGCTGTCCCAGGCCTGGACTCCCCAGCTCAGCAACACCGGCCTCTCTCAGCCCTAACCTACACCCTCTGTGCTCCCTTGATAGTCCCCTTTGGATCCCACCCAGAGCAGAAACCAGTTCTGCCTACCCCAGAAGTGAGGCAGGCCAGAAAACAGCATATGATTTAATAAAGACAGTGATAAATGGGGTTCTCATTCTTTGCCTTTGGGTTTTAAGGCTTCATATTACATTCACTTAACGTTTTCCAGCTTTTCCTCCCAGCCACAAAGGCTGGAAAATCACCTCTTTTTTAAAGGAAAGCTGAGATTCTCACCTAATCACCTGACTCCAGGAGCTGGGGCTTCAAGCAAACATAGCACCTATCATGGGACTGGCAGCGCTGAGAAGCTGTTAATTATGCCCCGTTGTGCCATGATTTCCCAGTGAGGGCATTAGGCTGAGCAAAGCCCGGAAACTCCTTACTCTTGCAACCTCTTAGGGAGTCACATCCATGTTTGCAGAAGGGTAAGTGAGCAGGCGGTTAACCCTTCTGAACCAGCCCCAGCATAGGCTCCTTCTTACAGCAGGCGCCTCAGGGAAGAGCTCTGAATAGAGCTGGCATGTAAGACCCTACCCATTGCCTCATGCAAACAGGCAGGGGGGAATGGGGCCTGGGTGGAAGAGGGAGCTGCAGACACCCTCTCAGGACCCCACTTACTTACCCAATGTGATCGGTTTACTGTCCTCCTGATCTGAGCCGATCCCTGTCCTCGGGCTGCTGCTTTGCTCTGAATCTGAAATGAAAAGTGACATGTAAGGCTTTGCTCCTTCGATGTGTCTGCAGCTCAGTGCTTAGAGACATCACCTTGCCAGCACCTCTACCCAGCCCTGCCCTGTTCCTCTCTCATAGCTTCATCTACCCTCCATCAGTTGTAGAGGCACCACCCTGAGCAGCACCCCCACCGTTGTCTGGATGTAGGGACCTGCTTGCCTCAGCCACGGCATCTCAGCATCCCTCCCAATAAAGAAAAGGTGGAACTAGACTGTAGCAAATAGGAAGGGAGCGGGGGGCAAATCTTTTCTGAGGCTGCTGGACCCAGACAAACACAGCAGTTCTCCCTGCCTCCCAGCCAGCACTGCCTCAGGGCCTCAGACTGAGTTTTGCTAAATCCTGGCTGCACTAAGTGACAGCAGGAACAATGACAGCATCAGAGCGGGGCAACAGATGGCCACCGGCCACCACAGCTCTCCCTGGACCAGCAGCACCCCGCTACACTTCCCCTGCGCAGCATGCTCCATACACCAACCCGCACTGTCCCTGTGGTTAGAAATGGCCCCGCATAAGTGACACGGTCTCATTCCCCCAGAGGTGTAACAGAGCAGCTGTGCAACCAGGGAGCGGTGACACAGGGGCAGTGGCAACTTCTGGCTGCTGCTGGCACCGTTGTGCGGCTGAAGCAGCAGGTCTGATCATTTTGCCCCCACCAACTCACTGCCCCAGTTGCCCGGCCTTAGTTACGCTGCTGCATCCTGTATCGGTTAGTCGCTGGATGCTGACACTGGGGTTTCTGTCTGTCTCTGTCTGCCAGCCCCATCCAGAGGACCAGTGAGAAGCCAACCTTGTACGGGAATACGAGTCATTGACACTGTTTTAAGCAACCAGCTCTGGGACTGACCACAGCAGCCACCTAGCAATTCCAGACAGGCTTCACATCCTCATTTCAGTCCTGAAATGCATCCACCTCTGGGGTGGACCCAGCAGTCATTTCCCAGGGCACAGGACTGCAACTAGAGAAGTATGCCAGATCCAAATGAAGCTGCAGAAGGCGTGGGGAGGGGGGACGACGGAGGCAGACTGGAACTGCCCAGCGGTGGTTGATCAAGAGGAGCAACTGAACAAGAAAGGCCCTTCCCTTATACAGTTAAAAATGAATAGTGACCGTGAGTGGTCCTGGCCTCTTAGGGTTCCCATGGCAACAGACAAACACTAATGGCTGCTTTATGTAATATCATTTGCTGCCGTAATGGCCCCCTCCGTGGTCTGCACTCACTAACCAGAGTTCACTTTGCTGCCCCGTGCGATGATTAATGAGCCGCTGCGCCAGACGGAGCCTCCTCACCTCACCGCTGCCCGCCCGCCGCCGGTAATGGAGGAAGCTCGTGACCTCAGAACAGATGGCGCCATTAAACAGCCCCAGGTTACACCACCGTGGCTTAACCCCCCCACCCCCTCCAACGAGGCGGCCTTGGATGCCTGCAGAAATCACTGCTCCCCACTGCAGCTGGGCTCTGGAGCAACTGCTGCCTCACTTGCAGAGGCCTTTGCCTTGGCCACTGCTCCCCTGTGCAACAGAAAGTCCAGGCCACTTATAGGCAGTGGTGTCAAGGGAAATCACGGAGCAGCTGGAACTGCCTTCTCCAGCCTGTGAGCCAGTGCCCCAAGGGGCCAGCAGCTGCCCCCTCCCATGGCTTGTGGTACAGTGCTGGTCCCTGCGGGGACCTTGCAGGCCTGCTTGGGGCCAGTGCAGTTGCAGAGCACGAGGCCTGATGTGATGTCATGGCACAAATATAGCAACACCATGTCAGCAAGCTGGGCAGGCTGGGCAAGCTGGTACCCATCCTGAGTCTGACACCAGTGTGTTTGCTGCCTGGGCATTCCCCTGCTCGCTTCTGCCACGTGGCTGGGTGGCTCCCAGTCTCCTTGCTTTGGCCACGTTCTCTCCCTGGCCCAGCTACCAGACATTGCTCATGGCTGAGTGTCCCTCCTGCCTCTTCCCTTCCTGCCCCAGCTCCGCACGCCCCACTATACATGTCCGCCTTGTGTTTATGATCCCACTGCCCAGCTGAGGAGCCTTGCCCTGCATGGTTTGGCCTCTGCTGTGCTCCCAAAACCCTCTGACCCTTAGGCAGGGAGATGTTCAGGGTACTCAGCACCCAGCCTGCCTTCACAGAAGCTCCCAGGATCAGCCCTACTGTCCCCTTTGTGTTAAGTCCTTGTCCTTGAATGGGGCACACATTTTTTCTAGGGCTTCCATGATCCCCAAGCTTTGACATGTCTCCTTCAAGACCTTTCCCCACTCCTTTCCTGATCCGGGACCCATGGCATAGACCAGGGATTCTCAACCAGGGTGTCAGGGCACCCTGGAGTGCTGTCAGATACTTTGAAGGTTGCTCCGAGGTATGGGGACATTGGCAGATAAGCGCAGATTCAGGCTTGTCTCTCTGCAAGGAGGTAAGCACTGCAATATATAACTTCATTTTGTTTAAATTGGTGGCGCTCAATTCACATGGAGAAGTGCCTCGAGTCCAGTGAGGGGTGCCTCAAATCCAAAAAGTGTAAGAACCACTGACACGGATGCAGTGCCAAACCTACTGCATATACTTCCCTCTTACACATGTGCCTACTACATATTGCCACCCACTGTCACATACCATGGCATATCCCCTACAATATATACCCAATGCACGTGCCCCTTCTGTGTATCCATTGCCTATACCCAGTGTCTGTGCACCAGACCACATTAAAGACAACACCAATTTGGATGTATAATTTTGCTCCTTTTCCTCTTGCCAGCTCCTCTGACTTTCTCAGCCAATTCACACGGCTGCCTGAACCCGTGGCATGCCTGCTCTGATCTCTAGGGGGGAAGTGCCCATTGCCATCACGTAGCAGGTGGTAGTATTTTGCCTTCCGGCTTGTGAAATGCCCATTACATATTCGCCACCTGCACACCTAGCTCTTAGATGCTCCAGCACTCCCTGCCCCGACTGCTGGTCCCATGTGGCAATTCAGTGATGACTGGGCAACTTATTTCCTTCATTAACACCAAGGACTAAAATACATACTAAGCCCAGCCTCACTGCTCCTGTCATGGAGCCTGTCTCATGTTATGCAACTGGTTCCTCTGTGTCTGGGGGGAGAGTGGGGGGGGGGGGGGGGGGGGTGTGCACGTGTGAAGCGTATGTGTGCGCGCGCGTGTCTGCGCATGCGTGCTACCAGCTCTGCATAGTGTCCTGCAGGATATTTGGCAACTTTCAACTTCCTGCAGAAGCTTAACCCTTTGTACACTGGGACCTGGAACCAGGATCCTGGTCCATTTGTGGTCGCTGCAGAACCCGTGACAACGTCTGGGCATTAATCCCAGCATCCTGGCCAAAGTCCTGTCAAACAGCTTCCTATGATTCCTCCTGCTTTCTCATCTGGAGACAGACTCTCCCTTCACTTCCTGTTTCACGTGGCTCTGAGCAGTGTCACAGCCAGCTGTGAAGTACACCCACTCCCCACGGTGCAAGCAGCTAGTCCGTCCCTATGGGGCTGCCTTGGTTGATCTTCCTGTCCAGAAGGAGCCTTGAGTGTGCACAGACTGCCAGATCTGAGCCTCACAGTACCCTCTGTGTAGAGCCAGCTCCTGGGAGCAGAGGCCAAATCCTGGCTTCAGTTTGGGCTGCCTAAATTCTGGGCAGCTCCACTGATTTCAGTGGGGGGTGCTCCAGTTTTGCAGGGCTCACATGCCAGCCAGTTCCTCCCCAGGGAAAGGCAAGAACACATAATAACACTGCGAAAGAGAGCCCAGCCTGGCTTGCATTTCTGAGCGCAATCATGCAAAGGAAGTGCTTGCTGCAGCCCCCTCTCCCCTCCCGTCCTGTTCCTTCCGCGCCTCATCAGAAACACGCTCACGCTGGCAGGCTGCAGCCCAGCACTCCCCGTCCCTGCTCCATCTTATCTAAAAATAATCAGACTCCTTGGGCAGCCTTGCAGACGCTGAGCTCAGCGCTATTGGTTTCTAGAGCATCCTGGATTAAATTCACAGCCGGCTTCCCTCCCCCACCCTCATCTACCATGCAGGGCCGCGCTGCTGCTCTGCTCGCTGCCCCGGAGCGCAGCGCAGCAGGCCTGACCACAAAGCTGAGGCTTAAAAGCTGATACCCCTGGCTGCTGGGGAAAGGCCCGTGCCATACCGGTCAGACCTGCGGTGCCAATGGTGGGTGCAAAGCAGCCAGTGCCAGCCTAGGTCATGGGTCCTGCAGCTGCTGCCAAAATTCAGCCTGCATGGCCTGCCTCTCCCAGCTGGCACTGCAGGACCTATGGGGAAGGTCCTTCTGACTCTGCTGTTAGGTGCTGGGTAGCCCCAGGTACCCTCCTCTGCACTTAGGCACAGTTTTGGGCCCTCATCCTCACGTAGGCCCAGGCCTGGGTGCCCCAAGCATGGTGAATGCGATGCTGCAGGGCAGGGCTTGGTCTGTGCCCCAGACTCCCTCTAGGCAGGATGCAGTGTCTGGGCACAACGAGCCCAGCTTGACTCTTCACCATAGCATGATGCTGCGAGCCATCCTGTCCGACTCACTGGCCCTTGGCCCAAGCCAGAAATGAAAGTGAAGCGCTTAGCCAAACAAAATGCCCATTGATTTCAGCTGGGGCTCTTGCCTGAGCAAGGACCACCCAATTGAGCCCCAGGTATACAGCCAGCCGAGGGAGGGATACTTTTCTGATGACAATGCTTTACCAAGACTGATACGTTGACCCCAGTGGAAGGAAGGGCATATCTGGTCTACAGTCCCCATGCAGTGCCCGAGCAGGGCACGTGAGAGCGAGCAGAATGAACCCACATACGAAAGACAGATCACTACAGATGAGATGCTTCCAAATCCCCTGTGCTGGTAACGGGATTTCAGTACCCCACAATTTGTGGGGCTGTGGGATGCAAACCTGGGGGTATGAGTCTGATTTGAATTGAATTATGTAAGGGGATGGCTGTTCTTAGGGAGTTCTTTCTCCTCCCTGCTCTGAGCATTG